CGAGTAAAACCAAAAAAAAATAAAAAAATGAATTGCCTGGGGAGGTCAGCTCAATGAGAATATCTAAAGGCGGTCGCCCTTATTTAAAAAAAAAAAAAAAAAAAAAAAAAAAAAAAAAAAAAAAAAAAANAAAAAAAAAAAAAAAAAAACACCTCCTTCACTAGCTAAATTACCGCGGTAAAAACTTCAAGCTAGACTTCAATTTCATCCATGAATCCGTGATGGTCCTTTTCCTTAATTAAAGTTACTTTTATTCACTTAGCTAGGGGGGGAAAAAAGAAAAAGAAAACGAAACAATATCGGTAAAATCATCAAGCTAAACTCTGTCGGTCATCCGTATTCCGTCACAAATCAACGACTTCACACTTTAATTCGCACTTTTCCGCCGCAGCCTAGACTGTTCTGTTACCGCCTCTACGCAGCCTATTTAATTTGCTGATCATGCGAAGCGGGGAAGGGGGGGGAGGGGGAGGCACGCAACCCGTGCATCCCGTTAATTGGGCAGTCCTGGGTGCACCTGGTCACAATCACGTGCATCGGGGAAACATCCTGCGGGTACCTGGCCGCAATCACGTGCATCGGGAAAAGCTCCAGGAGGCACGCAGTGTTGGCCCGCCTGGGAGTGAGTATTATGCATTCGAGACGGAACGCTAACGCACCCTCATTTCAACTGTATCGGGCCGCAAACATACCTCATATACGTTCATTTTCAGGGTGCGTTCTGTTCGGGGGAAGACGGATAATAATTATGCGTTCGAGACGGAACGCTAATGGGATCTGTGTGTATGACGGGAAACTGTCCCGTACTGTTCGGAGCGTATCAATTCATCCATCGATACGCTGTTTAATTTGCCCCCAGTCCAACTCCCCACCCCCGCCCCTAAAACCCCTTTGTCGGTTATTCCCGCAAGAGGGGGTTAGCCACTGACAAGATTTCTTTTTTAATTTTTTAACATCATCGAATCCAGATGATGTTAAAAAAAAAAAAAAAAAAAATCCAGATGATGGAACCAGCTGACCGGAAGAAAATCATTCTCAATGACCTGAAGCTGGTCAAGTCACTCCAGGAATCTCAAGGTCGCCACCCTTTCAGAAAAGAAAAAAGAAAAAAAAAAGATGTAATGGGACAATGAAGGAATCGATAAGACGACAACTCTCGAATGACATAGCATGGAACACACACACACACACATAAATAAAATAAAATAAAATAAAAAAGAGAGGCCGTGGGGGGGGGGGAGGGAAGAGCACGGAACAGGAATGGCAGGCAGAGCGGCATAAGAACGCCCGGTCTATATCGCTGTATCTAGACTGAAAGTTGCCCCAATACAGATACAATGACCGGACGTTCTATTCGGGTGAAGACGGGGGTGGGAACAATTTAGAGTACCAACTTCCTTCCCTTGTAAGAAAAAACTTTCTGAAGAACGAAAAGCAACAAGACCAGAATTTCTTTTTTTTTTCTTTTTTTTTTTCCCTCTTTCTTGAAAGGGCGACGGCCTTGAGATATCATCATTGAAGCTGACCGGCTCCAGGTAATTCTGAATTATGTCATTCTGAGAATCTGAGTGTATCTGGATTCGAACTTGAGTCCGATTCATATTTCAACAGTTCGGGGGGGTGTACCAACTGAGAGCTAGGCTCGGTGGGTTTTTTTTGGAATTACTACCAGAATTGATCTCTCCCTTCGAACCAAAAAACAGCTCATTCACACACACACACACACACACACACACACACACACACTCTCAGGGGTATCGCTAACTCTGGGCGATGTGGTGAGTCCTTATCCATCGGTCAAATGCATCCTGGACAGACTCTGTCCAGGTTCAACCTCCTCCTGATGAGTCGGTGGAAGTCCGACGAAACAGTCTGGCACAGTCATGTTTTTTTTTGGTGTGTGTAAAGCGAATATAACACACACACACACACACACACACACACACACACACACACACACACACACACACACACACACGTTAAAATTTAAAATCGACCACCCCATACAAAAAAAAAAAATGTTAACAATGATCTCCCCCCACACACACACACTTATATCCAATTGATACCAGAACATATACATGGCGAAATTGATCGATTAATTGCATGATCGACTGATCGAGAGATTTTTTTTGGGTATGGTCTACCTTTTTGATTGCTTAATTGATTGATTATTGATTGATTGATTGGTTGCTTAATACTGGATTGATTGATTAGATGATACACTGGTCATTTCGTTGGATTGATTGATTGATTGATTGATTGATTGATTGGCTGATTGAATTGATTGATTGATTGATTGATTGATTGATTGATTGATTGATCGCTTGGCTGATCGATTGCTTGATTGCTTGATCCACACATTTGTCGATTGTTTCTCGATTGATTTACGAGTTGGTGATTGATTGATATTCCGATTGATTGTTTGTTTGATTGTTCGATGGCTTGTTTGATCTATTGTTCGTTCGATTGATTGCCTATTTTTCTTCCATTTTATCGGCAGTGGATAGAACATACAGCGAAAAAATGGCTGCTGGGTTGCGTCTGGCGGCGAACCGCCTTGCCACGGGGGTCTGGCCCCGCTCTCTCGTCACTTGCTTGCCGTGCGAGGCGACAAGGACCGCAGATCGCCCGTTGATAGGAAACTGGCCGTCCTCGACGGGTTTCCCGCCCCCCTTCCTTCTTTGAAAAAAAAAAGGCAATGGGCTTGAGGAGGTATCGTCTTTGAACTGACCGGGCCTGTGAGTGTAAAGTCAGAAATACTACTAGTATATTTTCACTCATCTGATGCGATTCAAATTGGAACTCATCCTAAAAAAATTAAAAAAAAAATTCGAACTCATAGGCCCGCTGGTCTGTACTCCAACAATTCATGGGTTGAAACCAACTGAGATAGGCCAGCTGGTGAAACTGGCCTCTCACAGCCTAGCTGGTAGCTGCGATCTGGGCAGCGCCGACCAATCCAAAAACGAGACAGTCAAGAACGCAAAAAAAAAAAAAAAAAAAAAAAAAGATAGCCAAGAGTGGCCAATAGGACTGAACAGGGAAGAGTCGTTGACTCTGGGATGCATGCATGCATGCTCGCACATGAATGCTTGCCATTGCTCCTCGCAAATTTGCGTCTACGACTAAACAAGAAACAGACTGCCCACATGTATATATTGTCACAATGAATCGGAGCGCCAAGGCGGAAAAAGACAAGGGTTTTTCTTGTTTTCTTTGTTTATTTGTTTGTTTGTTTGTTTTTGTTTGTTTTTTTTTCCCTTCTGTTTTTCGCTTTGGCGCTCGGATATCATGTGACAATATATAGAGGGATGTGTCATTTGCTTTGTTTTGATTGATAGGCCTTCTTCGTCTTCCCTTGTCCTTTCTTTGACTGGATCCCTTTCTCTTTCTCTTGCCTCTGTGAGGTCTGGTTTCCTCCTCCTTTTCTTTACGTCTTTGCCTTTTGGCTGCGTGCAAGTGGGCACGGGGATGGGAAAAGGAGGAGGAAACCAGACCTCACAGAGGCAATGCACGCAGCCAAAAGGCAAAGACGTAAAGAAAAGGAGGAGGAAACCAGACCTCACAGAGGCAAGAGAAAGAGAAAGGGATCCAGTCAAAGAAAGGACAAGGGAAGAGGAAGAAGGCCTATCAGTCAAAACAAAGCAAATGACACA